GCCTCAGGTTGCTGTAGTTCGATCCCCACAACACTCCAGCCAGCCAAACCACCCCTTAGGGCATTTAGAGCAAAAAAAAAAAAAAAAAAGACACACACAGGCACAACAAATAAAGAAGCAAGATTCCTTTTTTCTTTTTCTGTATTTTAGGGAATGGTCTACAGGGTGTCCAGGTTCTCACTACTAGATCAGACTTGTAGTGATTCTCCTGTTTAGAGCATCTCATATGTTGGGATTACAGGTGTGTGCCATCATGTCCAGTCTCAACTGCCATCTCGGCATGCCCTGGGGAAAGGGCCACAAGGCAGGCCCGGCGATTGAACCGCCCACCACAGCACCTGTTTGCAGGTGCTTTAATCTTCTGAGCTATCTGGCCAACCCAAGAAGCAAGATTCAACAATGTACTGCACTCAAAGAAACACACTAAGGGTTCTTGGGAGGCTGTAAACAAGCAGATCACTAGGACAGGACTCCAAACTAGTAGTGAGACCCTGAACACCCTGTAGACCCTTTCCTAAAAATAAAAAAAAAGAAGAACAAGAAACACATTTAGGGCCAGTGAGTTAGCTAACATAATTCTAAATGGGGAAAATTGAAATCTTTTGCTCTCAGATCTGGCACAAGACAAGGATGTCCTCTATCACCACTCCTATTCAATATAGTTCTGGAATCACTAGCTAGAGCCATTAGATAAGATGGAGAAATAAAAGGAGTAAGAATACCAAAAGAAGAAGTTAAACTATCATTATTTGCAGATGACATGATACTCTACTTGGAAGACCCAAAAAGCTCCACCAAGAAGCTACTAGAAGTAATACACAAATTCAGTAGTATAACAGGATACAAAGTCAATATCCAAAATCCAATAGTATTCCTATACACAAATAACAAACACACTGAGAGGGAAGTTAGAGAAATACTACTTTTTACAATAGCACCAAGGAAAATGAAATACTTAAGAATTAATTCAGCTAATGAAGTAAAAGATCTCCTCAATTAGAATTACAGTACTTTGAAAAAAGAGATCATAGAGGATTTCAGGAAATGGAAAGACATTCCCTACTCCTGAATAGGAAGAACCAACACTGGGAAGACGGCCATACTCTCAAAATTGCTGTAAAGGTTTAATGCAATCCCTATCAAAATACCACCAACATACCTCACAGACCTAGAGAAATCATTCCTAAAATTTATTTGGAACCAGAAAAGACCTAGAATAGCAAAGGCAATCCTGGACAACAAAGACAAGGCAAGAGGTATTACAATTCCTGACTTGAAATTATACTAAAAGGCAACTGAGATAAAATCAGCATGGTATTGGTAAAAAAAAAAAACCCAGACCTGACGATCAATGGAATAGATTACAAGATGCGGAAATAACTAAAAACACACCCAGCCAACTTATAGAAAGATAGCCTCTTTAATAAATGGCACTGGAAAAACTCGCCCTCTACATGCTGAAAACTAAAACTGAACCCAGGTCTATCACCAAGCAGTAAACTAAAGTCAAAATGGATTAAGGATCTAAACATTAAAACAGAAACACTAAATGTCCTGGAAGAGAAAGTAGGAGGAACTCTTCAAGACATAGAGGTAGGCAAAGAGTTCATGAACAAAAATCAAATCACATGGGTAATACTTGAAAGAATTAACAACTAGGACCTCCTCCTATTGAGAAGTTTGTGCATGTCAAATGCAATTACCAACAAAGTGAAAAGACAACCCACAAATTTGGAAAGAGTCTTAACTAAGAAGCACTCAGAGAAAGGTCATCTCTCTAGAATGAAGCACTAAAAACCATTAGGGACACAAAATTTAAAGACCCAGTCCAGAAATGGGCACCTGAGATGAACATACACTTCTCAGAGGAAGAAATTCTAGAAGCTAATAAATACATGAAAAAATGCTCCACATCACTAGCCATCCGTGAAATGAAAATGAGAACAACACCGAGATACCATCTCACCCCAGAAAGAATGACTATCATAAAGAAATTAACTGACAGCAAATGCTAGAGAGGCTGTGGGGAAAAAAGGAACCCTTCTCCAGGGCTGTGGGAATGTAGACTGGTACAACCATTATGGAAATCAGTGTAGAG